TTGGATAACTTAGTCTTATAGAAATGTAAAAAATGATTGGCAATAACGCAATCATGAACTTCTAAGGATGTTAAGTAACTTTAAATAAAATTTCAATAGAGGGAATTATATTATCATCTATAATAAAAATTACAGATTCAAAATAAATAATATTGGTAGATTCTCTATTTATTAATATTTTACCTTTTTATCCCTTGAATTTAATTGACATATAATAAAGTAATATTTTGTAATCAAAGATTTATTTCACTAAGAACATAATATAAAATCTTAATAGTTACTAATTCATTAATTAAAATCTAACTTATTTTAACTATAATAATATTGATTTCAATTTTTCTAAATGCAGTTTAAAAAGTAAATTTGTAGAAAAGAGTCTTAAATATGAATTTATATAAAGTTTTTTTGATGTTCTTTAAGTTATTTCGTATAAGAATGGATCATTGATCAGAATAAAAAGTGTAACTAATTAAATTACAGTTTATATAACTTAAAATTACATTTTAAATAATAACTGTTAATTTTGTTAGAATGGTTTACTTTATTTAGAATTAAATGATATTAAAAAAGCTTTTATCTCCTAATTATATTGTATGAACAACTATATCTAAAATCATGGTTGTTTGTTAGCTAGATCAGATGAAATGATTAAAAGTAAATTATTAATAGATAATTCGAACTTTATTTCTAACAATGGAAGATAAGGATCTGGTATTTCAGTCTAAAATTTAAAAGTCAATATATAAAATTCAAAAGTGCTTAATAATAATGCTACTTTAAAAGGAGGTGGTTTCTACTTTGAAGAAGGCACTGGAAGATTTATCATTTAATCTTCTATTATTTGCCATAATAAAGCAGAAGAAGCTGGAGGTATATATTTAGGAGGAAATAGTAGTTTAAATTAAAATAACTTTATCTAATCTTTACTTTTATTTAATAGCGCTAAATTACCTACAAATAATATTAATGAATTACCGAGGAGATTAACTTTATAAATAAATGGGTAAGAAATGCATTCACAATAATAAATAATTGAAAATAACTCTTATTCAGTCTTACAATTAAAGCCTTTTAAAATTATATCTTAACAAAGTGTTATTTCAACAAACTTTTTATTTATACCTAGTGGTTAATAAATATATAATTACTAACTTTATAATTATTAGATTTAATAATATTAATCTTATATTTATTAATTTGCAATATTATTTAAAAATAGTAGAAATGAACAATAGATAAGCTTTTTAAATTCTACTTGTGATATTAATTAATAAATTTATGATAAGTTATTGCAAAAAGTTGTAGAATCTAATAAAATATCATAAATAAGTTTTAATTAAGATTCAAAAAGTTTTAATCTTAGTTCTGTAGAGTTTAATTTTGATCCATATAAGTAGGATGATAAAATTTACGAAATAATTATTTAATGTAGCACACAAAATTAAGAAGTTTAATTATCATATAGGATGAGAGTTAACAGTTTCTTATGTTAATTGGGGGAATTTTATATTTTTTAAGGTTGTCAAAAATGTAAATCCGAATAAGGATTTTATTCTGTGACATATAATACTACAAAATGTTCAATATTTGATAAAAATAAATTTGATGCTATAACTTCTAATAAAATATAATTAAAGCCTGGATTTTGGAGGCCAAATTAAATATCTGACTTTGTAGAATTGTGTTATAAAAATCCAATTCATTGTTAAGGTGGATGGGATTTAGGAGATGATCTTTGTTTTAAGGGACACATTGGAGGATTGTGTGAAGAATGTGATAGATATAATATAAGAGGAGAGGGATAATTCTTTAAAAACTAACAATCTCTGGATTGTTAATAATGTTAATTGTTTTCATAAAGGTTAATAGCCTTCTGTATCATTTCAATTTGGTAAATTTTATTTAAATTTATGTTAGGGCTATTCTTTCAGCTTTAATAACTATAAATAGTATTGAAAAATCAAATTAACTATTTGCATCACTGAAGTTGAGATAAAAACATACTGAAATTTTGTTTAAACTTAATTAAGGTAAAATTATTTATTTATTTTTAGATCATTAAAGTATTTTACTTAAGTTATATCTTAATTATATGTGGATTTTTTCACTTATTTTTACATTTAATATAAAATTATCTTTTTCTTTGAACTTTGTAAAATGGACTAATGATACCTCATATTTTATGGCTAATTATTTTGAATGTTTTCTAGTTGAAATATAAGGAATTGAATTAATTTACAGCAGAATTTTAGTCATGTTAGGACTAATAGTTGTTTAGATTTTTTTTATCTTCATTGGATTTTATCTATTCTCCTAATTGAAAAAATCAACATTTTATAGCAGAATCATGTCAATTACAATTTTATATTTATATATCTAAAATTATGCATCTTTAATAAATTAGTAAATGTTTAATTTTTATAATAGATTTTTTTCAATTCTGGCTGTAAGAAAAATATCCAATTTAGATTATATTTAAGGTGATGTATCCTTAATTTATGGGTCATAAAATCATATTAAATGGATATAAGCATTTGTAATCCCAGGATCTTCATTAATTGGATTGATTCTGCCATTATCATTATTATTTATTTTGTACATCAATCGAGAATAGCATAACAAAATCAAATTTCGAAGAAACATAGGATACTTATTTAATGAATATACAAAATAAAACTATTTTTGGGAAATAATCAAATTATGGAAAAAAACCATAATAATTATTATAATTATCTATTTTGAAACTGATATATTTTTCAAAGCATCCTTATTAGGACTTTGCTTATTAATATATTAATTATTGGCTTTAAACTATAAACCGTATATCATAACAAAATTCAATAATTTAGACATTTAAAGTAGTCAGTTGTGTTAAATTGCTATATTTTTAGCAGCTATAAATTACATTAATTTATAATTAGAGTAAAATAATACTCAAATAATCATTCAGACTTTTATTATTTTAGACAGCATAATATTGAGTTATAGATTCATTATTAACATTTTTAGAGTTTATTATTAGAAATATAGATTAATGATATTATCGTTACTAGTATTAGCATTTAAGACTTTAAAATCTTCTTCTAAAATCTCAAAGTATTTGGAACAAAAATTAATTTACTTTAGATATAAAGAAGAAAAGGCTAAAATTAATATAGAAAAATTGAGAAAATTGTTGCATTCAAATCGATTTTGGAAGACAATTGTAACTGTTTAATTATATAAGATTCAAAAGCCATACAATTTCAAGCTAAAGAACTAGGCCAATATCAATTAATTTCGGATCTGTATTTGCAAAATAAATTTGATGAGTGAATAAATTTAAATATATATACATTTATAATCAATTAGAGAATCAGTTAATTAATAAAGTGTCCATTATAAATATTTACTAGATAAAAGCCTTATAAGGATGATACGGATAAGGGTTTTCAATTAATTAGGCAAGAAAATCCAATGTTACATTGAACAATTTAAAAATGTTTTTTAGTGACTGTTTTAAATATTATGAAAGGGTTGAATTAAAAATTTGTTATATTTACCTATTAAAATTATTTTAAATTAAATTTTAATATTTCAAAATTAAAATCAGAATTAAGTCATCAATTGATTATCATAAGAAATTATTGCTTTTGTATCAATAGAATAAAAGGATGAAAAGTATAATTTATTTTTCAAATTAATTTCATCCACCATTAATCTTAATTTATTATAAAGAATCACATAAAAAAAAATTTTGTTTTTTATTTTAATTTGAAAAGAATAATTTTAACCATTTTCAAACTTTTTTCTCAAAATTTATCTAATCTTTAGAAGAATTTTAATTTTTTAATCAAAAGCATAATAGTAATTTTGACAAAAACAATCACATGAGTATCATATTATAAAGTCATCATAGTTCAGGATAACAATTTTCAATAAAACGATTGATTTAATGACAGTATTCCTTTAGATGAATAATCATGAGGGAATAAATTTAAACTAGATTTTAAATACATTTTAATTTCCAATATATTCTATTATTTCTTAATAATCCATTTATCAATATACTTTTAATAATAAAAAGAAATTGCTATAAAAAGTCTTAATAATTGTGCAAAAACTTTTATAGAAACTTTAATTACTTAAGTATTATCATTTCTTCAATATTTCAGAATTATGATTTTCTCTATTTTAATAATTGAAAAAATATTTCAAATACTCAATAAAAATGTCATATTTGAAATTCTACTTAAATATTAATCCATGAGGTATATGCCAATTAGTGTAATAGAGAAATTGGCAAGCTAAATTAAAAAAGTTGATTAAAAAAATAATTGCTTTAAAGATGAGAGAGTACAACTATGTAAGTATTGAATGCTGTCATTTATATGAATCAATGCTCTTGATTCTGTATTTTAATGGGAATTGCATATAGAGGAGAATTACTTGAATTAAGAGTACAAGGTTAATTGTTTAGATTAAATTAAGGTCTAAACAACCAGGAGATTTTTTTAATTGGAATTATACATAAGAAAACTATCCTCCAAATATCATAATAATTATTGTAGGTTACAGGCATCATCAGATGATATTAAAGCTATTTTTATGCAATTATAATACAGAGATATAATACCGAATATTATTCAAAACTATAAAACAAAATTTAAAAAATAGTTTAAATCAATATTCTAAAATCTAAATAACAGATCTAAATATAATATATTTTAATATCAGTTATATCTATTAAATATAAATATTAGCATCAGCTAAAACTATCAGTTTTTAATAGTAAATCATAATTTATTGATTTGCATTTATATATTTTTAAGTTATAACTATTAATGTAGCTTTAAGGTCCTATTATAATCATCATTTTAATTAATCTTTAATAATCCTCTTAAAATTAATATATGTTTTAGTTAATAGCATCTTTATTAATGATATTTTTATTATTTAATATTTTATATTTAATAACAGTTAGTAAAAATCTTTATTTATTTCCAATTACATAAATTTTCATGATTTTAAAAAATTAATTCGATAGACAATACATATACCATAATTATTGGGAAATGTTGTGAATGCAAATAATGCTATATTTGTAGGCTTGAATAAAATCCAGAAAAATTCTTAAAATAAAACTTTAATTGTTTGAATTATCATTGCAATAAACCTATTTTAATTAAAGATCATCGAGGTTCAATTAGCGAACAAAAGATTTTAGATAGATATAGTGATATTACATTTAAAAAATTATTTGAAGGGTGGTTTAGATAGTTTAGATATATTAATATAATATTAGAGCCTGTCCTAATAGAAAATGCAAATCTCATGGTTTTTTACCATTTAGTAGATATTAAGAATTTTGATAAATATGAATAATGCCATTATAAATGGTATGATGAAATATGTTTTTCATTTAATAAGATTTGTATTTTGTTTTTGAAAAATGTGAAGAATGGCTTCTTCTGTTTTTTTTAAGAGTTTATTATACCCATCCCTAACTATGATATGTAATCATGCGTATTGCTTTATTTATAGAGATTAATATAATGATCTTGATTCTTGATATGTTCTTTGAAACATAACTCTTTTTTTATTGTAATTACTAATTTAATGATTTAACCATTTTTCATTTTTGGAATTTATACATTATTAATTTAAATTGCATAATTTCTTTTTTGGTTAACATGCATAATTTTCACTTTTATTAATGTGAATAATGGGAAATTAAAATTTAATTTTTGCTCTACGTACAAATATTAGATGCGAAATATTATTATGATTCCAAGAGAAGAAATGAAGTTAAGTTATTGAAGTGAAGTTGAAAAGAAAAAAATTTGGAAGTTAGTATTAGAATTGACAGCCCTATTAGTAATAAATTTAATAATAATACTCACTACCTATTATGATGATAATATTATTAAAATAGATCCAATAACATTTTATATTTTATATCCAATTGAATTCCTAATAATGCTATTCAACAGATACTTTTGATATAAATGATTTCATAATTTTGTAATACTGATTATTTATACTATTATTTTAAAATATTTGAATCAAGTTTTATTCAAATTATTGTCAATAAAATTATATTTTAATTACCTTGAAGCTTGTCTATAAAGTAACCCTAATGATATCTTTTCAGTTTATGCTTTATGCATTTCTCTTTATAAATTATTCTATCTGTTCTCTTTGAATTTTCTGATTCTAAATTAGATTTTAACATCAGAAAGCTTTATAATTAATATTGAACCACATAAGAATCAGTACCAGATTAATGTTTTGAAAAGAAAGTACATTGAATTTTTCAGTTATAAAGTAGCTCTTTTATTTTTGATGAATTTTTATATGTCTTTTTCCGTCTATAAACTAAAAGAGAATGGAGGATGATGTGATATATAATATATTGAAATAGAAAGAGGATTTTTTACATAAAGGTTTTCTCCAAAGGCAAATTGGATAATCATGGCTTTCATCTATAAATTGATAAAATATTATATTACTGCAAAGAATACTTATTTTAGATTGAAATTACAACTAAATAATTTCTAATCTATTTTTTAATCATATTTTTTACAATATTTCTTGCTAATTTAAAATCTTTTTATCTTAAGAAGTTGTTCGTTCACTTTTATAAGCAATTCTAATTGTATTTAGATCAATTTTCTTAAAATTAAAAAAAATTAAATCTAGAATTATATTCTCTATATAGACTATGTTCAGGTTCATCTAAAATTATTGGAAATTTAAACAAATTATTTTTATCGGAATAAGAAAATTGATTTGTTAAAGCTTTTTATTAAAATCATAAATTTTTTGTCTCATCTTCATTATTATTTATTACTTTTTATTCTTTTTTATAGAATTCTAATTTTGTATTTGATGGTATTTTTCAGCATCTAAATCATTTTCCTCATCAATAAATTTAGATGTAAATATAAAGCCTTAAACCAAATCATTATCTTCAATGTTAAGATGTGTATTATGTATATTTAAAATTCTCAATTTCAGGAATTTTTACTTAATGATTATCTTTAATTTTAATTAATCTCTACCCTATTCTTATATTTGTTTTTTTACTTATTTATTTATTTGATTACATGAATTTAATAATATTCTATAACTTTATTATTCAAAACAAATTTAGCTTTATACATCGCTTTTTTAGAAGTTAAAATTGAAAATACATTTTTATTAAAATATGTTTAATGTAATACAACATGCAAGAGTAAATTATTGCAAGTTCCATAAGTATATAATTAATTAACTCATATTTTATTAGCTTATCTCTGTTAAAAATTTCATTTTTTAATTTGAAAATACATTTTAGTTTTAAGCATACTTGTAAGTTTTGTACTTTTTCAAACTGTTCTTAAATCAATTAATATCTGATTCATCTTAGAATAATTCCCTATGTTTAATGAACAGTAATTATTATAAGAAGAATATGTTTGAGTTTTATAACATAATAGTCTACCCTGTTTAAATTGAAAGAGAAATAATAGCTCTAAAATGTACCCCACTTTTATTTTAAGAGCTGCTCCTAATTTTCTATTAATCTTGATTTACTAAATTAATAAATAAAATTATTCACTTGCTTTGAAATTAACTATTTTCTTTCTTTATCATTGAGCCTTTGATTTTCTTATTGCATAATAATTATATATATATTTACATTATTAAGAAATAATTTGATAAATTTTAAAACACTTAAGCACATATATTTAATTAATCCTAATTAAGAATCATCATGAATGGTAGAAATAAAACATTTATATTTAAAACTTTTTATTCAAGTTTCTAAATTATTTTTTAATGTATAGCGTTCTAAATTGGAAAAACATTTAGAAGAAAAAATTATACAAATTTGAATTTACTTCTTTTTTAATATTATTAATTCTTTAAGCATTTTTCTTTTAACAACATCCTGAATTTTGACATGATGATATTTTTAAATATAAATCATTATATTTTAGTCTATTTTCAATTCTTAAGTTATTTAAATGCATTATAAATTATAGATACAAATTTCATGCTAATGATAATTTATATGATCATAATTATACTATTACAGAGCAAAAAGTGATTTACTCAAATTGTAGAATTTTTATTCTATATAGCTAAAGTGACGTTTTCTGAAAAGCTTTAAAGAAGAGATTAAATATCTCATTTTTTTGTATCACGTTTTATCTATTTTATAATTCATTAGTAAATATAGAATTCTATTGATATCGTTTGATTATATTGTTTTTTCTTTAGAGTTAATATAATTTATTGGTTATCAAAAATAAATAAAGAAAATAATTATTGTAATAATTAACTCCTTTTAATTTTATTTAATCTTTCAAATTTCTTAATGAGTAATTTAAAGTTGTTTCAAAAAGTTATGTACTAATCATTTTATTTCAACATTTTAAATCTATATTTTATGCCTCCTTATAGTTTAAAAATTTTATAAAATTTTCATTCATATTAAAAATTGCAAAAATCTTTAATTTCTACTATTGGAATGATGAATTTGTTTATTTTATCAATTATTTACTCTATATTTTATTTATGTCTATTTCTGTTATTTATCTCCTTGTTGCCATATTTGATAATTCAAATTCATAATGGGTAATCTAGAAAGCTACATAACATCGAATTATAAAATTTACAACATACAATGGATCAGATATATATTATTACTGTTAAGAATTCCGTTTGCCATCAACTTATACTACTGCAATTTTATTACATGTACTATCCCTGTTACAAGTTATATTACTTTAATTTATTTTTTGATGATATAATAAATAATATTAGTATCATTCACATGGTCATCTCAAACTGTAAAATTTATGATAGGATCATTTTCATATACATATATCAACTCTAGTCCTTCAACTTAATTAATAACAACTGGATTTTATGATATTATCCCTTTGAAGTTAGAACTGTGAATTTTACAATTGTAACATAAAATCCAATTCTAGATGTTATAGCAGTTAAATCCTCTAATATTGATACTGGATAGGATTCAATTAGCAGTGCTATTTTTCAAGGCTAAAAATTATATGTTATCCATCATTTAAATAATGTGTAGGTCCAAACTACAATTAATGAATAAGTTGCTATTATGGATCACAAAAAAACAATATTTGTTCATCTAATTAGTACTATTGGAAGAACACAGAATGCCAATTTACTTGTAAAATGGAAGAAGCTTTGTAGTAAGATGGATTTTGTTAAAAATTTCCAAGTATTTATTTTTAATTAACATGATAGTTATTATCATAAGGAGGTTATCTTCCTTTGTCTTATCCTAATGAAGAAAATTTGAAATGGTCATTGAGATATGATCTATAATAAGTTGATAAACCTATATATATTACGGTGTATTTAAATACAATTCTGGAATCTAAAGATATTTTAAATAAAGATTTGCCCATTAAGTTAAAAATTCAGTGGATCTTATTGTTAAGAATTAGATGATGTAACAAACTCCTTTTATCTTATATTAATATATTTAGACTCTTAATATTTAATGAAAGAATATATAAATGCTGCCATCAACCCTGAATAATATACTTTAATCTCTCAAAATGGAACAAACTTTTTAAAAGGATCAGATAAACATCAGATAATAATATTTTATGGAACAGCACTTATAACTTATAATGCTAATATTATTAAATTTTCTTAAGCAGAATGTCTGATCAACTAATATTATGATAAAGAATCTGTAAGATATTTGAATTGTCCATTATCTTGTTTTAACTTGTACATCAAAAATTGATCGTATGCAATTGTATTTATGGTTATAATTCAATTGTATAAAATCCTTAATGTTAGTTATTCCATAAATTTTATAAAACTTGTGATGGACCGACTTCTAATCAGTGTTTAATTTGCTATAATATTTGAAATTTTGAAAAAGTTGGATCAACATGTAAATTTCCAATAGGATAGGCTTATAATAATGCAAAAAATATGTGTTTGTTGTCATTCATCTTCCTTAACATGCTTTAGAACCACAATTAATGTTTGTTCAATATGTGATTCTACTTTAAATAGAATATTAAAAGGGTTAAAATGTCCTTATCAACCTGGTTATTATGAATCAAGTAATATTTGCACAAGTAAATAGAATAATTATAATTATAGATTGTCCAGATACTGAAGATTCATCGCAAGTCAAAGTTCAAATAATTTAATAGTAATTAATAAATATGGCATATTATTATTACTTGTAATTCTTGATTTCAATTAGTATCTTGAGAGTGTCAACCTATTTATGGAGATACATCAATAAAAGGATATGAGTAATGCTAAGATAATTGTTAATTTTATTGTCTTATTCATTGTTAGTCATGTAATTAATCGACCACTATATTTGTGGAGATTAAATTATTACAGGATTAGAAGAATGTGATGGAAATACTATTTAATATGATGGATTTTTTAATTGTAAATATTAATGTTAACCTTCATGCACAGCACAGAGTGTATAAAAGGACAATGTTTTGAATGTGCAATTGGTGTGTGATATATAGATTCAATAACTTGGTAATGTTAAAAATTATGCCGAGATTTGATTTTAGTTGGAAGTGAATAACGTGAGGATGGTAATTTTAGCCATACAGACAGTTGCAAGGATTTTAGATATTTCCGTAGAGCTGGTTGTTCTTCTTTTCTTTCTACTACCAATAAATGCTTAAAATGTCAATCTGGTTTAGTTCCTTTTTCTTATTACTGTAGCAACATAAGTGGATACGGTAAAGTTGCTAAAGATACTTCAGGGTACTTTTCAGAACTATGTGATGATGGCAATACAATTTATGATGATGGTGCAATACCTTTTGTAAATTTTAATGTTATGCGACTGGATATTATCTTAATGATCAAAAATTATGGAAACCGATTTGTGGAGATCCCAGTTGGTTATCTATGCGATACAAGAGTTATATTTATATTACCATTTAAAGGTTGCAGAAATTTACTAAAGATATTTATTATCCATTTTCTAAATATTAATAAGTTGACTATTGTGTAACTTGTGATGAATATAATTGTATAAGTTGTCAAAGTGGTTATTACCTAGATGAGAATTTTTCTTGCATTTCATATTGTGGTAATAGAATACTTACACATGATGAACAGTGTGAAATATATTAAGTTGTATGTTTAAAATTCCAAAATTATGTGAATTATATTTTGAAGATCATTGTTATCAATGTAAAAATGGAAATAATATTAATTATTATATATTTATAGGCTGAGATGGAATAATAACTCATGATGAAGATAATATTTATATAGAATTTGATAGTTGTTATTATTGTAAATATTCTTGTAGTTAATAATGTTTCAATTGCATATTTGGTTGAATTTTCTTAAGCATTTAATTTAATTGAATATAAATGCTAATCAAAATGTTAAGAGACTTGTATTAATTGTATTTAAAGAGTTTGTTAGTTATGCAACTGTGGATATTATTTGAATGAATACTTAAATTGTATTAAAATTACTTGTGAGTATGACTTCACTTGTATCTCCGAATGTGGAAAAGGCATAACTGAGGATCTAGAATAGTGTGATGATCAGAATCTAATTCATTGATAATGATAATTGTAATTATTAATACAAGATGTATCGATGGTGTTTGTAATGAGTGTACTTTAATAGATGCATAATCCAAAGGTATTTGTGAACTATAAACATTATGTGAAGATATAATAGGATTGTATTTTGATGCTTTTAGTAATGATTGTTTAAATTAAATTGGATTTTTATTTAATTAACATTTTTGTATCCTATTTGTGGAGATTGAATTATAATTGATGAATATGAAGTCTGTGATGATTAAAATGATTAACCATATGATTAATGTTTTAGAATGCTAATTTTAATGTATAGAGAATTGTCTAATTTGCTAAAAAGGAATATGTCTTAAATGTGATAGATTATTCCATCCAGAAAAATTAATATTTGTAAAATAACTAAAATGATGATCTTGATTCTAGCTCTACTGAAGAATCTTATAAAAATGATACAGTTGTAAATAGTTAAAATTCATAATAATCTTCTTTAAATAAGATAAACAGAGAATCTGAATGTGTTTACTCTAAAAAACCCCGCATGAAACTGATTAACAATTTGCTCTGCAGCTTATTGAGATTACATTTGATTAAAAGTAAAATGTAGCAATTAAGTAATAAAAGACTAAAAGCTATTTAATATTTTATTGATGACTTGGATTCTTAGCATTATAATATAACAATAACTTCAATTTAAGAAATTTCATTTGATCTTTAATCAGTTTAGTAGGAGTTTGCTTATTTTTTAAATAATCAATATTAATATTTCTAACCAAACCATTTATATTAAATTGTAATTGAAATATTTCCATAATATTAAACAAAACCAGTTCTTTTGGTTTAACTGAATCAATAAATTATTATAATTAATATAAGTTTATAATTTCAATACACAATAACCAAAGTAATCAAACACTCTTTTATCTTATTGAATAAATTACTCGCTAACCACCAAAAATAATATCTGAATAAATAAGATAAACACCTATAAACGCTTAAAAATCCAATAAATCATATTTATGATTCGAGCAATTTCTTTATCTGTAATTTCTTCAGTTTCTGGTGAAAGTTAGATTGTTTTAGAAACACTCAATCTTTTATAATATTAATCATAGTAGACTACACTAAATATATTTTTAAGCATATGACTTGTTATCAATAACGTCTTATTTAATATTTTTTGAAATTGATGATTATGTAAGTATAATTACAAGAAAAGATAAATAAATTGATCTAAGTGGAAAATTAAATTATATAGTATAACATCATTCATAAAGAGATAAGAAAATGAAAAATAATTAAAATAATAGGTAAGTATGATAGCATGAAAAAACTTTTAAATCAAAGATTTTAATTTCAATTATTAATTTAATAATTAGCTTTAGAAATTGTGTCTAATCATTAATGAAAATAAGATATCATTAAGTTTATTCGTCTGTCTAGAGTAAAAAATTGTTCGAAGGAAGCTCGAAATTAAATTTATTACTTTAGATATATTTAGAACAATGTTTTTCCATAAAGTATTAGCACTATTCTAAAATGAATGTATATTGCAATGCTTATTTATATCTGTCAGCAATTAAAGTTAATGTTTCTTAATCTAAAAATATCAATAATGTTCAAATTTGGATAGGATTTTATTTTAATTAGTTGAAGGAATTTTATAGGTATAATAAAAGATTATAAATTAAATAACATTATTTACAGATAATTCAATTAAATTATTATGAAGATTTATTTAACTATAGTTTAAGCTTATTTTGCTATTTGGATATTCGTCAGATTGAAATGTCTTATTAAAACAAAGTTTATTTGGATTTTTTCAGATGATCTTTTTGATTTTGAGTCTTGCTATAGTTTTTTCAAAACAATTATATCCTAAAATAAAACATATTTGGATATAATTATAAAGAAAATATTTGTTTTTTTAATAGTTTTATTATTTGCAAAAAGTAAATCTCTAAGAACAGTAGGTGAAGATAAATCAAAAGTTTAAGAATTATATATTTCCATAATAATTTAATGTTAATCCCCGAATCTTAGCTCAAACATTTAGTTTTAGTGAAAGTACATCTTCCTTTCTAGAATTCTCTTTTAATTTATTAAATCTTTTCCAATATTTCTTTTTATTTTATGATAAAGTGATTTTGATTAAATAATTTTACTTATAATTCTTATTTTAATATCATCAATCACTTAACTTTATTTAATATTAGATTTTGTTATCTCGTACATAAAATTATTAATTTACTTCCTAAATATATATTAGGAATTCATTATTATAAATTTAAATTTCTTTCAATAGTTAGATCATTATTATTATTTAGATTTTATTTCATTTACTTCTTGAATTTTTTGAAGACATTCAAATGATTCAGTCTTCGGATTTTTTGTAGTTATTTAAATATTGAGTCTCTGATTATGGAAATACTGGATGTTTTGCATTGATATATTAGTTATTTAAATATTAATTCATAAATGTATATTTTATCATTTATTTATTTAGACTGATTTAGATATCAATCCCAAGACCTTTCCTTAAAAATAATCAAAAAAAAAAAGAATCTAAAAATGAGAGTCTAGGTTTTAGAAAGTTCATCTTATTATAAAGATATTAAATACAGAAGAAAAAAATGTAACATTAAATTTTGGATACTAATATAAATTGTAGATTTTGGTAAATTGTTGGAAATTCTATAAATTTTTGAATACTACTAATCAACTGAAATTGCCAAAAAACTATTTTTCATCTTATCTAATATTTGTAAGACTTTTATTACATTGAATTATCATTTAAATTTTATTTTTAATTTCTTTATAGTGATAAAAGGAGATAATTTAATAATCTGAAAATTTATATCTAATTCTATGAATTTCTTTTATTTTAGAATTGAGACAAATAGAGCTAAAGTCTTGTTTTGGAATTGTATATTTAAAAAAGAATGGAGGTAACTTTTGAATGATGTAGGTGATAAATCTATTAAGAATGATCACAAGGATGTTACAACTTTCCAGCCTTATTTAATTGTTTTTAAAAAAGAGTTTAAAATATCAAATTTAGTTTTTTAAGCATAATAAAAGTTATGAATAAATTAATTAACTTCATCACCTATTTTTAAGGAGAGTTTAAGATAAATTCCTCTACAATATAAAGTTTTCTTCTTCAAAACCTAATAATCTTTACTTAAATTAAGAATTTTAATATAAATATCAAATTAGAAATATAATCCCATTTATAAAATATCTAATCTAAAAAAGTCAAACTCTATGAGATTGAAAAAATTACTCTATATGGTAACTTTTAATTAATATTTTTTTAAGATAAATAAGAATTACTTATATTGTTTATGAACTTATGAAAAAATATTTAGAAATAATCATATATATTATAAGTTAATAATTAAATGAATCATAATATCTCTATCATTTGTCCATTATTTGAAACTAGTTCAGGAAAGGTATATCTAGCGGAAGAGATGGTTTAAAATAATTCTATATTAAAATATTTTGCATTTGAATTTAGAAAGGATTATGTGGAAAAAGGATATTTTTTTGATGAGGTACAAATTATAAAAAATACAAAAAAACCAAGATAATTTAGAAACTATTAGAAAATGTATAAGAATCAATTATTTTTGTTTAATTATATCGAGGGTGAATTCTTTGATAAAATAATATTGGTGAATGTGAAATTACAAAAGTCATTTGAAAATACTGAAATAAAAATATATTTGAAATAGCTATTAGAAGCACTTTATGAACTTCATTCAAATAAAATACCTGGAAGATTATTTTCTGTTTAAAATATTTTATAAACATAAACAAGTAAAAGGATGATTCTAATGGATTTTGGATTTGGTTCTAGAATAAATTAAGATTAATTAGATATTTTAGCACCTCCAGAATATTTAGAAAGCTTAATTGAGAAGAATAATAATCTTTTATATAATTCATATGAAAATGATAAAGTATTCGATTTAAAATTTGATTCTTGGTTAGTAGGAGCTTTCTTATACAACTTGATCAAATTAAGACCTATAAATCATATAAAATCACAATAAAATACATTTGAAAGATATAAATATGATGAAAAAGAACAATATTTATAACATTTAAAAAAAATGAAGTTTATTCCATGTTAGACTAGTAGATACAATTAAAACCTTTGTTCTTTTGTGTAAGATTTACTAACTTACAATAAAGAGAAAAGATTATCATTTTTTTAAATATATTAACATGAATACATTTAAAATCTTTAAATTGAAGAATAAAACAAATATTTAAAATTTTATAAAAATCTATCAACCATATTAGACTAAAAGTTTAAGCCTGATTATTAAAGTGTTATAATGAAATAACTTAAATTTGAAAATAAAAAGTTTGATACTTTTTGGCTATAAAAATAATTAGATTATTTTAAATGTTTTATATTAGAAGAAACAGAAGAAAAAATAATTAATTTATTACCAAGATATATACATCCATATGAATATATTTTTGCATATTTTGTGAAGAAAATGCATCTTCTTATTTTAAGGGAAACCAATCATTATTCATAATCAGATTAATATTAAAATAAATTGGATTAAGATTGCTAAATTTTTTTACAACAATTTTCAAAAGATTTATTAAAATCTATAGAAATTTTTGAATATATAGATAAATTAACAAAATAATTAATAGAAATGTTCAGATAGCATTGTTATATTCATTTAAATAAGAATTCTAAGCTTTCTCAAAATATTAAAAAATCTATATTAGATGATTATAATCAAAATCATAGCATGTTATTAAATTCTTAAGAATTTTTTGAAAATGGTTATTTTGAAGCTCTTGAAATATTATTTTAATATATAAACTAACTAAAAGTTTAAGATGAAATATCAGAGGAATTATAATAATTCTAGAAATAAATTTATATTTGCATCATAATCACATCTTTAGATGTAGAAAATTTTTAATAGATATTTAGAGAAGTTCTTCCTGAAAATCAATAGATTAAACCTAGTGATATACTTATTAATTTTGGGTTTGTTGGTCACAATTGCTGATATATTAATAAAATTATAAGATTTAAATAATTTTTAAATATAATATGATATAATATTTTATGATAAATCTTAATTAAATTAAAGATTATAGAGATGTGATCAAAAAAGGTTAAATTATCTTAAACATTTTTTTCATTTGATATCCATTTTATAAAAAAGAATGTTAAAATAATTATTATTCTAATAAATGTTTAATAATGGAAATTATTGAGATTATCTGGTGTTATTAAGGACTTTTAATTTAAAAATTTCTCCCAAACTTTAGCGGGATTTCTTATTTTCTTAATTTACTTTTTTCACAACTTATATATAAGATTCCATTAGATTTTATTACCTTAATTAGACCAAAAAGAAACTGATTAAATAATGAATTAAATATCTTATAAAATATTTAATTAAGAAATTAATGATAGATAAAAGATAATTGTGTATTTAATAATAAATTATATTATTATTAAATCTCTTATCATAAATAAAATAATTCTATTTCTAAAAAAATTAATCACTTTTTCGAGAATATGCCCTAATAATGAATTAATAATTTATATTTTCTATTTTCATATAATATATGTTTTTAAATTCATTATTCTAAGATATCGAGACAACTTTTGTCCTAAAATTTTCAAATGCAATTATAGAATTTTGGGTAGGTTATTCAAAAAAATCAAGCAAAGACACTATAAATCTTATTAAATAGACCTCATTAACAATTTGAATAGATCTCTTTGGTAAATATATAAATAAAGAATATGAGAATAAGGCATTTAATTTTAAAGAGAATTAATTTTAGACAACCTACCCTAGAAAATATTAGTTTTAAATCAAAATACTAAGAAAATCTTGTAACTCAAAATGGCTCTTATATAATTTACAAAATCATTTCTCATTATGTTAAGAATTAAATAATTATATACGAATAGTTATCATGTATAGTATTGAACTTATAAAGTGGATTAAAATAGACCATTTTTTTCAATAGTTTAAGGAATGCATAATTATATGGATGTATTTTTTAAAATTAGAAAATGAAAATTTAGTTTATATATATTTTAATTTCAATTTCTAAGAGTTCATTATTATCAATACAACGAAATTGCTATTCAATTTTTTCTCTATTTTTTTTTGAAAATTAATTCTCTAAACTTTAATAAAACATTATTGAATTAAATTTTTTCAATTCCAACTAATCAAGATATAATAAGATGTCAAAATATGTAAAATTAAATTGTTTGGAATTAATAAGAATAGGTTTTAGAGATATTATCTAAAATAGTAGTATTATAATTAATATAGATTGGATCAGGGTATTATATATAGATCATTAATAATTGAACATATTCTACATATTAAGATAATTGGGTATTTCAATCATGAATAATCAGTGAAAAAAAATAAATATATATCATCTTAATAAACCATTAATGATATAACTGTAATCGCAGTTAAAATTTAGCATAAGTATATAAAATGAATTAAGTGATCAATAAATGAATCATTTGTAAATATTAAACTATATATGTATTAATTTTATTTAAAAAATCCAAAGTAGAAATAATAACTTAATTAAATAAGTCAATATTATATAAGATTTAATGTATATTTTATTAGTCTTTGAAAATTTAATAATTATTTCTAAATAAATAATTATGATGTTCCTTATTTTATTTATTAGATAAAAAATATTGCTTTTTAATACTTTGTTGAACAACTTCTACAATATTTTTAATTATTGAAAGATGGTAATTATTCAAGAGATTTTCATATATTATAAAATTTATTTTTTAAATGTCAAAGTAGTTAATATAATATTTACTAATACAACTAACAATAAAATTTATAATAACAAACATGGTATTCAAATTTATTTTATAAATATGTAATATCTTTACAATCTCTCTAAAATTATTTGAATTACTCTTAAGTTTATTCTGATAATTAATTAACTATTGTAATTTAATTTCAATAACATTTAATTATTGATTCAAATTACTCATTTAGGTGGGGTCTAAAATATAGAAAATGAAATCATTTACTTTTAGACAATCTTCTTTTAATTTTTCATAATTCTTTAGAGTAGATTATTATTCATTAAATAAAATCTCATTTTACTTGATTAAATCATTATAATATTATTATAAGGAATTCAATTTTTATTCTAATTTGAATAATTTTCTGATTATTAAATAATCTTCAGAGAATTTTAATCAATTTCTATATATTTTAACCTTTTATAATCTTCTCATGAATATTAATCGATTAATAGAAATCTTTTTATTTATATTGTATTTTTTTTAATTCAAATATAATAGATTTGTATAAATTAAAAGTTAAATTGAAAATGCCATAATAAACTGTAAGCTTTTAACCTTCTTTTAAATTTCATATCTTATTCCATTTGTATTATATATCCATTTTTAAATAAGGAAATATTAAAATTCCAGTATATGATATGAGTATTTATTGGATTAAGTTAAATCGAAAATAACAATAAGATGTTAAGTTCTAAAATTATTTATACTAAAAATACTTGAAAATATTGTTTTTTAAAAGATTTGAGATAAGATTAATTAAGCCTTCTAAGTTAAACAAAATATATTTGAAAGTCCTTCATCAGTGTCTCTTAGAAAATTAAATTTTTATTTTATTTTAATTAGGAGAAAACTATTTGCATATTAGCAGTTAAAGAATCTTCTCATAATTATTGGATTGTCATTTACTAAATCTCATATTAAACATTAATTAATAATGTTAAACTACATAAAAATCAGGTTAACTAAAATATAAACTTAAATATCTACTGTTATTTGTTTTAAACTTCTATTACAATTTAACAAAATATTTAATTTTTTGAGAAAATAACAAAATGACTTTATATGAATGTTTATTTAAAACAATTCTCTAAGTAAATTGAATAATTAAGGCATACGAAAGGAATCCCTAATTATTCTAAAAAAACCCTAATGTTAATATAGTTATCTTTAATTTAAGAATTTAATTAGCCTCAAGAGTATATGATTGATATGTTTTTGAGTTTATATCTGATAAATAACCTTGAATTATTACTTGAGCATAACATTAAAGATTTACGAAGAAAAGTTTATCATTATAAAATTGATAGTTTTCTTGATTATAATAGGTTCAAGGAAGATGAAGAAAAGCATGAATTAAGATTTACATTTTATTGATTCTAGAGGGCAATTATTTAAAGTAAAATAGATATAATGGAGACTTAAACAATCATCTTGAGATATTAAAATTTACAAAGTAATGAAAATATAATTATTATCCACTTATTACAGTAAAGTTGATAGATTTCAATTTAATTACTTAGTATAGTTTTCTCAAATTAAGAGGGTTTTTTATCAACAATATATTATTTAAAAATACAATAATTATAATGTTGAAATTAACTTTAACTTCTTATGAGAAAAATAATGAATATTGATTTGTATAGTATAGATAAATTAAATTATCTTACTTGCCCTGCCTTCTATCTTAACTTTTATATCTTTGGAATGTATAAGCTGATTTATCTAATAATTTTATAAAACGATCTAATTCATATTTTATTGATAATATTTCATATAGCTCTATTTCATTAAGATTTTAATATTTATAACTCTTTAAGTAGATTATTAATATAACTAAAATCAATAAAAAATTTTTATGCTTTCCTTAAAAAAATATCATTCCATATCTAATTTATCATTTTTTAAGTGCTTGTGAAATCTAAAATTTGAAAGTTTTAATATTTTAAATATTCCTAATCGTTTTACAAGTAATTGATTTATTAGTGATAGAAATTTAACATTAAAATATTTTGCTAAGAATTAATCTTTAATTTTACTAGATAATGTTTTATTTCAAAATGTATTAGCTATTTAAAATAATAATGTCTGATAAAAAAGATTCTAAAATTTAGTAAATCAGGTAAATTATTTTTCAATTAATTTGTAGTTTTTTTAGTATAAAATTATTCAGAGTCCCCTTTTTTGTACAAATTAAATTTTATTAAATCACAAACGTTTTTATATCTTATTCCTCCCATCAACTATATTTCTATAAGAATAGTTATTTTTTAGCATAGACCTTAGTGTGGATTCTACAAAATAATTTATTTCCTATTATACATTATAAAAGTTAGTAATTGCAAATATAGTGATTTACCATTTATTAATAGATTTACGAACAATTTTACTGATTAAAATTCAAAATTTTTCTCTTAAAATAACTTCTAGATAATTAAATCAATTAAATTAATCGATAAAGCAATCTTAGCAATTATTTTTAATTAATTCTTTTTTACAAAAAAATTAATAATTAAAAGAAGAAACTATTTCAATATTAAGGTGCTCAAAATTATATTTTAATTCAGATTCAAATCTAATAATTCATTTCAATATGATTTCTAATTTGAAGAATATCATATGGACTTAAAATTCAATTAATCAAAATGAAATAGTTATTTTATATAAAAAATTTGAGAAGTATACAGTATGATATTCAATAACAAATAAATAATTTATTTATTTTAATTTTTATACATATGAAATAATAATCAAATGCCCAATTAAAATGATAACACATGGGATGATTATAATAGTAACAGGAAATATTCAATTTTAATATTGCTAATTAAGTATAAAATGTGATGAGATTAATTAATACTTAATTTCTATCTTAATAAATTGTTGTTATAGTAATACATTAATATAAGAAATCTTGTTTTTTATATTTTTAATTTTAAATTATAGTTTTTGTATTTTAATTAAAGAAAAAAAGAATAATCAAATCAACAGATTTAAGAATTTATGCTTATATTAAAAACATTTAGAGAATAGATTTGTACATCAATACTTTTAATATAAATTTTTGATATTATCTATTATAAATATAAGAGTTTTATTCTAATAAATTATTCAGAATAAAACCCAACTATTATTTAAGAAAAGCATTGTATCTAATATAATTTTCTGATATGTTTATAAATATTTAATAACAACAAAAACTAAGAATTTATGTTTAAGTAAATAGTTGTGATTCAGATGAGAGTAGATATTTAATCTTCTTAAAATCTAAATTTGGAATAAATATGTTAAGAATTTATAAAACCTCTAGATGTCATAATTTAAGAGGATGAATTATATCTAAATTTATCAATATATATCACCATAAAATAGGTAAAAATCCAGAAAGTGAAATAAAAAAGGGAGAGTAACTCAATATAAGCTCAAAAGCTGATAAAATATCAATAGAATAATAAATCCTATTATAAATTTTTTTACAATTAAGTATGAAGAATAAAATTATTATTTTTTTTAATAGAATGAGAAGGCCATAATCTCCAGATACAATGATAATTTCATTTTATGATCTAGATTTACCCAAAAATTAGACTTTAAGAACTTATAAAGTATAATACAATACAACAATATTGGATATCAAGCAATACATTAAAAACAATTTGAATGATAATTATGAAATTTTATTATATTTTGAGAAGGATAAATAATATAATGGAGACCCAAATAGTTATGTAATTAAACTTATGGGTAGTTTGTAAAATAGATAAATTACTTATAAAAAGGTATTATCTAAGAAATTAAATTATATCTAAAAATAATACTAGATTGATTAGAATGATGATAATAAATAATTTAATAATAATAGTAATATTTTTGAAAGAAACACTTAGAGTGAACATTTATCTCAACCAATAAATAAAAATTAATAAGCCTAAAGTAGTTGGAATTAGTCTTCAATTATTTAAGCAAAAGGGCCATCATAACAAAATTATATTACTAAAATTGGAATTAATGAATACATTTAAAATCATAATAATCAAGTAAATGAATTTGGCAATTAAAATTCTCAGTAATTTATTTTTCTATATAGAATTTAAAATAATTAGTAAAGTATAAATCAACAATAACTATAAAACTTAGATTAATAAAACAAAGAATTGAAATATTAAAACTCTCAATTAAAGTAAAAATAATATCATATACTAGAACTAAATTGTAAGATTATGAAAAATAATTAAGATAATACGAAAATGAAAATCAAAACATAAAGAAAGAAAGAGATAATTAAAAGTAAAATGTATAATGGAATCTAATTTAGGCAATTAAATTAACAACAAAATTGTAAATTTTTCGAAGACTATTAAAAATTACAAACAGAAAATAGCTACTTATAAAATTAACTTTAGATAACAAAACAAAAATTTTAATAATAAATTGAAACTTTAAATAAAGAAATAGATGATTATAAAGCCCAAATAAAGATGAAGAATGTTTAAATAAGTCCTAAATTAGAGAGTAAAAAAGATCAATATTCAATTGAAAGTTCATCATTACTCTAATCTAAATACTAGAATATAAGTACTATAAAAATAATTAGTTTAAGATTAACAATAAAATAATTACAGAAATAAATGTGGCCATTATTTAGATAAATCTTAAATACAAGCATAAGTATATTTTGCAATTAATGGAAATAAAATAGTTTAATGCAATATTTGTTAAGCTCCACTTTAATCCAAACTGTGTTTATTGATTGAAGATTATGGTAAGATTAGTTTGGAAATAAAATCTTAAATTGAAATTAGGAATATTTCATAAAATATATTTAGAAGTTTAAAATATCATGAAAAGATTATAAAGTGTGAAAACAATAATTGTCAATTCTTTTGCATTTGGTAAATTAATTAGAAACAAATTCAAAAATATAATACAAGGTAGATGGTCTAAACAAATGGATTTTGCCCCATATGTTTAAAATATAGTATAATCAGTCCTAGTCCTGAAATATAATCTCCAATGTATAAGACATAATAAAATTTTTTTAGAAAATCTTGATGATAATTTATAGTTATCATTAATAGATACATGTTAATTTTTTACTTATATAATTAATAATAAATCATGATCATAATAAATTGTTACAAATAGTTTATTCTTACATATGTTTTTGTTGTGATATTTATTTTCTTACATAAGATCTCTTTTTCCATGCTTTTATATTGGTAAAACTATTACATTCATTATTATCTGAATCAGGCTTAAATTAACAAGAACGTTTTTCTAAATTGAAAAAGATACATTTGAATAAAATTTTATGTTAAAAATAATTAATAATCTTAAAATTTTAATTAGGTATAGTAATCTACCAATGCCGTGCCTATTCTAATAGTTTGTTTAAATATTAAATGTAAGTTACATTAGCTATTTTTATCTCTTATGATTCCTCAAATAAGATGAATTTACCAATAGTCTATTTTCATAATTTTAATTGCCATATTGAAGTCAAGTAATAAAGATTCAATTGTTCTTGTACAATTATAATTTAATTATCAAAAATTGAAATCATAAAATATAAATTTCAAAATGGTTTTATTGGCTATGAAGAAATTTTAGAAAAGTATAATAATAACTTAAAGATAATGCCAAATAAATTATTTTGAATGAAAAACAAATTTATTAAAATGGATCTGCTCATTAAGAAATAAGAGTTTTTCTATTTTTTTCTCTATAGCAATTCTTTTTAAAAATAGACAGGAAATTAATATATAGCATTAGAGGAAATATTGCTTTTATTTTTTGTGGAGTTAATTTCATTAATTATATCCATTTTATAATAGTGGTTTTAAAGTAAATATAGGTATTATAAATAGATAATTATATATTAAGAATTTCAAGATAAAGTAATAACATAGTCTTCTATTATAGCATTGATATATCTTTATTAAATGTTAAACATTTTATGTGGGATAGAAAGAAATTTATAGCAAAATTTATTAATTAATTTAATTTAGATTTATAATAAATATTAAATTTAGCTTAGTTCAATTTCTTTATCCACAATATTTTTTGAAACTCTATCACTAGAGCACTTGAATTAATAATTTTATTACCTTTGAAGATATTTGAAGTGTTATTAAATTTTAAATATTGCAGTCTAGTATTACAATCTTTTTTTTGAAATTTGGAATTATATTAGAAAACAGTTTAAAATTATATTAAATTAAATAAGTTTTTATAATTGCATTATTTTAACCCGATATAGGATTTAATTCTTTTAAAATTTTAAATTAATTTCTATTATAATGAGCATCCATTTTCCATCTTCATTTATAAGAGAATGTAATAAATGTTTAAAGCAGCGCATTCCTACTTATAAGTGGGAAGTAATTTATAGGGTTTCTTATATTTAGTGATAGCTATTTGAAACTCTTAAATTATTAATTATTATGAAGTTACTGTATTTTAGCTAAATCTTCTCATAATATCTTAAAAAGCTTTTAATGGCATATTTTTTAATGATTGTACAAGTTTTATTAGAAATCAAAAAGAGATGTAAATGTATATATGTATATAAACATCACTGATAAATCTGAATTATATGTTCTATTGGTGCCATTATTCTTTTAGCAAGAGAATCAGCTGTGATATATTCATTATAAAACATTCTAATTGATAAATATCAAGGTTACTAGAAGAAAATACAAAAATGAGCCATTAATATTTTTATTTTTTAGGGAGAAGAACTATTTCTTTGAGAAAGTATATCATTTCAATGCATTTATTTATCAGAACTTTTACAAAAGTGAAATAATTATCTTAAATTAATTTTTTAGATCACTAATGATTTATGATAAGGAGGCAAATAGACTAAATTCATAACTAGTAATCATATAACAAGCTTAAAAAGAATAAAATTATCTACTAGACATTAATAGGTTTAAATCTATATAGCTCCTTTCTTATAGTATGAAATTATAATCCCTTTATCAAATTAAAAAAAGTTATAGAAATATTAATAAAATAACTATTAAGGAAAAATTGAAGATTTATTTNAAGAAATTTATAGCAAAATTTATTAATTAATTTAATTTAGATTTATAATAAATATTAAATTTAGCTTAGTTCAATTTCTTTATCCACAATATTTTTTGAAACTCTATCACTAGAGCACTTGAATTAATAATTTTATTACCTTTGAAGATATTTGAAGTGTTATTAAATTTTAAATATTGCAGTCTAGTATTACAATCTTTTTTTTGAAATTTGGAATTATATTAGAAAACAGTTTAAAATTATATTAAATTAAATAAGTTTTTATAATTGCATTATTTTAACCCGATATAGGATTTAATTCTTTTAAAATTTTAAATTAATTTCTATTATAATGAGCATCCATTTTCCATCTTCATTTATAAGAGAATGTAATAAATGTTTAAAGCAGCGCATTCCTACTTATAAGTGGGAAGTAATTTATAGGGTTTCTTATATTTAGTGATAGCTATTTGAAACTCTTAAATTATTAATTATTATGAAGTTACTGTATTTTAGCTAAATCTTCTCATAATATCTTAAAAAGCTTTTAATGGCATATTTTTTAATGATTGTACAAGTTTTATTAGAAATCAAAAAGAGATGTAAATGTATATATGTATATAAACATCACTGATAAATCTGAATTATATGTTCTATTGGTGCCATTATTCTTTTAGCAAGAGAATCAGCTGTGATATATTCATTATAAAACATTCTAATTGATAAATATCAAGGTTACTAGAAGAAAATACAAAAATGAGCCATTAATATTTTTATTTTTTAGGGAGAAGAACTATTTCTTTGAGAAAGTATATCATTTCAATGCATTTATTTATCAGAACTTTTACAAAAGTGAAATAATTATCTTAAATTAATTTTTTAGATCACTAATGATTTATGATAAGGAGGCAAATAGACTAAATTCATAACTAGTAATCATATAACAAGCTTAAAAAGAATAAAATTATCTACTAGACATTAATAGGTTTAAATCTATATAGCTCCTTTCTTATAGTATGAAATTATAATCCCTTTATCAAATTAAAAAAAGTTATAGAAATATTAATAAAATAACTATTAAGGAAAAATTGAAGATTTATAGATAATTTCGATCATAAATGGCTGTATTTAGTACCAAAGTAAATATTACTTTAGAAACTATCAATTTTTAACCATTTCATTATGAATTATTTAAATGAGAATAAGAAAAATAGCCAAAATTCTTAATGATGAATTCCAATTGGATAAATAAATATTGAAACTATCGATTATGTTGTTTCTCTGCTATATATTTTAATTATTGCACCCATTATGAAGGAATTTTTGAAAATTATTCTATGAGTGAAGATTGGATATTCTATATTGATAAGATATCTATATAATTTTGAGGTTTCAAAATTTATTCATGATTTAGAGAATATAGTAATTTAATAGTTAATACTAAGGAAAGAATTAAATACGAAAATATGACTAATAATTCAGTTTTGTTTTTATATCAATCTTCGGTTGGGTTATAAAAAGGTATTACATATATAGAACCCAAGAATTTATATTTCAGTTTTATTCCTTATATTTTTGCGCTATAATCCGCTCATAAAGGTACTAATTATCGCTCTTAACTGATAATACTCCAATATTTGTTGAAATATTAAATTGTTATTAAGTTATTGATCATCAGATTATTTTAGCATCGCCAGACAATATTATTAATAATAGCTTTCAAAATTTTATTATTCAATAGTGTTAAGTAGATTAAATAAAATATTAAGAGTTTCAGAATAAAGCATAACTTTATTAAACAAAATATTTAGTTTATAAAGATAAATATTACTAACCCCAATCAAAAAAATCATAAAACTGTAATTTTCATTATAAAAAATTATTCAACATATCTATTTTAAGAAATGAATCACCTTTCAACTTGGCATCTTGTATTATAAATAATACTCTAAGTTAAAATCAACTTTTAGAGGCACTTTCATTCTTGCAGTAAGTTCTTTTAATTCATATCTTCAATGTCTTAATATTCCATCATCACAGTCTATATTAAGATCTGAAATCAGAAGTATAAGAAAAGTCACTTGGCAGTTCTTATAATTTGAAAATTCTATTAAATTCTGATCTTTTCAAAGCAATTTTAATTAGCATTTGATGAATTTATCTCTTATTTAAAATTCACTGACCTTTTTTCATTTATATGCTTAGTAATTTGTTATTTATAAATTAAATTTCTTGAACTTTGTTAGATATTTTTACATTTATAGTATTTCTACTAAACAAAATATTTTATATTATTATTTTTTCAAATTGAGTTAATACAATATTGAAATACAAATATTAATTATATACAATAAACATAAAAAACTATATAGTTCAATTCAAAATATACAAAATATACAAAATATACAAAATATACAAAATATTTTATAATAGTAAAAATTAATTTATTGTATTTTTCAAATTTATTTGAAATTTTTTATTTATATATTTTTATAGTATTTCTAGAAATTCT